ATTCGTCTGTCATCGCAGCTCTCCAACGAGGATGTTTAAGGGCCTGAGTCACAGTTGCAGGTTCAACCTCAACATCCGAAGAGGAGACCATGAGAGCATACTTCGGATTGGGCTTCAGAATACTACTCTTGGATCGAGTCTGCATCGGATGAGTGTTGTCGGGTGGAGGAACATCCGACGAACCAGTCAAGATAGTAGAGTCCGAAAGAACCAAGTCCGAGTCAGGCAAGGCAGGGACATCATCCTGCAAAACCAGACCAGCCGGTGAAGCGGCAATGGCCGAAGATGAGGTGGTAGCATCGGGGACGCACTCCTAGGCGGAAGATCCGACGGTGAAGAATCCGAGCTCAGGGGCTTACTCGGCTGAGGTGTCATGAGTGGACGAAGAGGAGGACACAACGGATGAACCGGATGGTGAGAAAATGATGGCTCGGCTATAGCAGAAACCGAAGCCGGAAAGTAGGTATGAAAGTCCGAGTAAGGAAGTATGGTCTCGAAAAACTGAACATGACGAGACACAAAGAGACGAGAATGAAGAGGGTCAAAACAAAGATAGGCGCTTTGAGTCGGGGAGTAACCAAGAAAAAGACACGGACGAGAGCGAGGTTCAAGTTTGTGGGATGTATAGGGACGAAGCCAAGGAAAACAAAGACAACCAAACATACGAAGTTTCGAATAGTTCGGTGAGGAAAGAAAAAGACGTTCAAAGGGTGATGACATTGAAAGAGTAGGGGTCGGCATCCTATTGATAAGGTAAGTGGCTGTGGTAAATGCAAAAGACCAAAATGAAGTAGGAAGGGAGGCATGGCTAAGAAGAGACAATCCTGTTTCAACTATATGTCTATGACGACGCTCGGAAATGTCGTTGTGCTCGGGAGTGTGAGGAGGTGTGGTATGATGAGAAATGCCGTGAGAGGCAAGAAAAGATCGAAGAGCTAAATACTCACCACCATTATCCGAGTAAAAGGTGATGATCTTGGAATTGAACATATTCTCTACCAAGGGTTTAAAGGCGGTGAAAGTCTCAAAAAGCTGCGATTTTTTCTTAAGGGGATAAAGCCAAGAATATCGCGTGAAGTGATCAACAAAGAGAGCATAATATTTATACCCGTCAATCGAATAAACAGGAGAAGTCCACACATCAGGAAAAATAATCTCAAGAGGACAACTAGAAGTAAGAGAAGAAGTAGAGAAGGATAATTTGTGACTTTTATTCAAACTACAAGAATGGCAAAATAAAGAAGATGAATCCCGAGGCAACGACAAACCAAGTTTCGATTAAAATTGAGTTAGAAAAATCGAAGTTAAGTTTCTGTCCATAGTTATCATTAGAAATCGAACAAAATATATAGATGTGCTAAAAAACTATTATAGTATAACAACTGTTAAACAAATCGTGCTTACTCATAAATCGTGGATGGAACACTCTATTCTTTGAGTGTTTCTGTTCTATTACTTGAACAATTATGTACCTTTCTTTCGCCTTTTCCATTTGAAAGAGCAATAAAAATTATCGGCTAAAAACACACGAGTGAAAATATATACAAACGCCCAAAAGGACAACATTTAGAAACAATGTCATATAAAAGACTAGGGACAGTGACACCGATTAGAATCTTAAGATTCCTCGTCTGAGATTCTTCTGGGAACAAGTAATCTGTGTACCTATGTAATATTCATCCAAAGATTTTTTGTTAAACGAATGTGATTGTAGAACCAAAAAAAAAAAAAGAGAGCAGGAAGACATACTTTGTGAACCATCTTCTCTGGTAAAGAGCTTCCTCTTCATGAGCTTCTTGGGAAGCCTGGGGCTGAACCACGCTGACGTCACCCATCTCACCCTCCATGTTCAACCAGTCAGCCGTTCTTTCCTCCTTCAGCTCAGGTGCCGAGTCCTTGACGTACGTGTTTGCCCTCTCGAAAACCCCTGAACCAAAAACCCACACAAGATCAAAGATTATATATAGATAATAACATCAGAAGAATACCCCATTTTTTCTTGAATGCCCGTCACAGATACAACAGAGAACATGGATCATGAAGGACGAGACATTAGCTAATGTAAGAATCTGGGATGGGTTAGTTTTACTTCACCTCCAGGGCGTTGGATGCAATCCGTTTTATGTTCGGGTTGCACTTGGTCAGATACCATTGTCTTGATCAAAAGCGGAGGCTTCGAACTTTGCATAGCTGACCCATACCTTATAATGCTTTGTCCGGTCGAGGAGTCTCTCGTACAGAGCTCTTGTCCTCCCGGTCTCACCTTCTGTTATCTCAAAAGCGATGCATGCCTGTCACAACACAACCCATTAGAGTTCTCAGTCATTCTGTTTGAAAGATCACACTGACACTTACTCTGTCCACCAGGAAAACAAGAACACCACTTTTCATGCCAGACAGCAAATAAATCACAAGGTCTCAACAAGACAAGAGAGAAAACAAAGAACAAGGGGCGATGTCCATGTTCAAATCATTACAAATATAAGAAATTCAAGAGCTGTGGACCATATCATATCATACAGTTCCCTCTGTGCTATTCAGGTTGTGGGTTCTGAAGATTCTAAGCGCTGCCTCCAATTAGCAACTTCCTCTCAATCTTCTGCAACTTTTTCAGCTTCCTGAATTCTTTTGATTCCGGTGTCTCTCTCTTTTCACATCTTCCAGCTTCAAGCTTCAAATTTCCTGTGATTTCTTCTGATTCCCTCGACTTACCCAAAGCTAGATTCTTTTTCTCCAATCAACTTCCTTTCCCAATCAGCAACTTCAAGATTTGCGGCTCCGATTTCTTGCTTCAAGCGATCTGTCCCTGAGTCATTCCTTACGGAGTTTCCGCCCAAGGGAGGGAGAGAGCTTGGGGAGAGAGAGAGCAATCCCCGTGGAATGAAGAGGAAGAAAGAAATAGAGCAAGGAATACAACGCTCTCTGATCGGGAAGAAGCAGGAGGTGGTGCAAGGAGGAAGAGAGAGAAAGAGATGACTCGGCAAGAGGAGGCGACACGCACAGTCAGATTCGCCCGACAGACCGACCGGTCTAGATATCAGATCGATCCGGTCTGCTTTTTCTCACCTCCTTTTCAGTTGGTTCGACTTTTGGACCGATCCGGTCTGCTCCCTCTTTGTCGTTTTTCTCATTTTATTCTTGGACCAGACGTTCTCTTCTGGACCGTCTGTCTAGACCGACCCGGCCTATTTTTTCAGACCGATCCGGTCTGGACTTCTTTTCCCCTTCTTTCTTCGGTCCGTTTGATCCCGAGCAGTCCGTCCGTCTGGACCAGTAAGGTTGAGATTCTAGACTGGCCCGTTTCAGGACCAGACAATTTTCATTGATCAAACCTAATAAATTTCGGTTCACACTTTTTATTTTTATTTTTCATCAAAATTCAGGGTGTTATACGAAATATAAAAATCTAATAAATATAAGAGAAAAATATGATATACTTGATAATTATATCGCAAAAGAAAACAAACATGAATGTAAACTTGTAATTTTGTATAAAAATTTTAAAATTTTTCTGTAAATCCATAAAAACTCTATAAAAACACTAACTTCAATTGCTTTTTTTTGTGTGTATGGGTGTATGCAAAAAATCTAAAAACGTATGTATTTTTTATAAATATTTATTTTGTAGATTTATGGAAAAAATTTCAAATTTTATATATTTTTTTATCTAAATTAAAAAATCATACATTTATTTACCAAATTTTAAAAAATTATATTGTTTTGCAATAACCGGAGAAAACCTACAATTTTTTTAAACCTCCACACAGATGCGTTTTGCTTTTATTCATTAAGGCAAACATGTTGAGATAAAATAGACATTTTATAAATGATTATAATTTTGGAGCGAATGTAGAAGTCACTGAGAGGCAAAAGCTAGGGAAGTCAATAGAACCCGAAATCCGAAAAATTAAGGGTTTGGGCCTAATAATATAGGCTCGGTAAATAAATGGGCGGGCCGGCCCGGTCTGAAAAAAGTTAGGGTCGAATCGAATCGAGTCTGGTCGAAAACTCGTCCGACCCGTCCATTCAGCCCGAAAAAATATTATATTATTATATTTTTACTTTCATTTGAGATTTAATACCACACAACATTATATAAAAACTTTTATTTGTATGTTTTATATATATATATATATATATATTTATATTTCAAAGCAATTTGATTAATATATATCAAACTTGTTAAGGTTGTTATTGCAGGTAGATCTGAGAAGATTCTAAAGCTGATTTTGTGGAAGAGATAAAGATGGAATCTTGGAGATAAAGTTTGGCCAACAACCTTGGAGAAAAAGATAGAATCAAATCAACAAACAATTGAAGCTGAAGAGAAAGCTATATAAGAACGACAAAGAGGAAGAGATGAGGTACCGAGCTTAAAAGATTATCATTCAGAGAGTACAAGAGTTTTTGGTCTTTACGTTTTTATTTCTGGTGAGTGAGATTGTTCTGAGGTGGAGTTCTCAACAGTAATCTGAACAAACTCAGAACGTGAGAGTGGGTATTCACACGGATTGTGTGTTGAATCAGTAGATTTCGTGTCATAGAAGGGCTAACACTTAGGGGGAGTGTGGTACGTCTGGGTTTTACTGCAACTATCTCTATGTTGTAGTAGTCAGATTTTCTTGAATGAAAAGAACTGATTTTGAGTTATATCTGAGTGCGTTAGTAATTTCAAAACTTATATTATATATATATATATATATTTTTATATTTTAATTTTTTTTAATTATAATTGATATAGACGAAAATTTGCTATTGTTTTTTTTAAATTATTAAATTATTATTATTATTATTATTATTATATATTAATATTTATTTTTTATTAAATAGAAAAAATCCGAAATCCGGTTCGAATCCGCCCGAAGCCCTATAGAGCCGGGATCTGGACCACCGATTATAGACCCAAAAAATAAATGAACAGACCGATCCGGCCCGAAAAAATCTAAGACCGAACTAAGCCTGACCCGAACCCGGTCCGGCCCACCCATTTTACACCAAGGTACCGATGTCGCGCTTCTCCTTTAACAAACCAATTGTCAAACCTTTTCAGTTTTCCATTTCTTTTATACAGATGGAATTACATTAACTCCACATCTCTATATAAACATTTCAACAATATATATATATATATCAATCACCGAGGGCCTGAGAGCTCGATGGCCTCAACCACAAGAGACGAGTCTTGAATATACTCGGAGTACATCACCGGTGGCGATGACGACGGCTCACACCACGACCGCGACCGCAGACGCATCAACATTTGCTCAGCGTTTCGATTCTGCGACTGCGACTGCGAAGCTTCCCACCTCTCGGCCAAGCCGTCGCCTTCCAACATCTTCAGGACTTCCGACATCTTCGGACGGTGTAAGGGATTGAACTGAGTGCAGAGGAGTGCAACTTGAACTATCTCTTCCAGCTCCACCCTGTCGAACTTTCCCTTCAGATCTTTGTCCACTATCTGGTTCAGCTTCCCTTCTTGATGCAGCTTCTTCACCTGTGCCAAATCGGGAAAACCCAGTTTAGAATTATATCAACTCTCCATATTCATCCAAACCCGAATACCCTTTTGATTAACACTGCCAAGATTCTCGAGAAACTGCGAGAAAGACAGCAGATTTCAGGTCCCAAGATCAGGTAGACCAAGAATCCAAGAACCCTTTGTGATACTCTCGACAAGATTCTCGAGAAATCGAGGAAAAGATCCAAAAAGATTCCAACTTTTGGGATTCATCGGACAGAAAAACAAAAGATAAAGAGTTATCAGAAAGAGTGGGTGAGAGAGGGTACCCAGTCAAGCATTACGCCTTTCTGGTGGGAGGAGCGGCCGAAATCGAGAGCCTTTTGGCCGGTGATGAGCTCGAGGAGCAATATCCCGAACCCGAAAACATCGGTCTTTTCGGAGGACTGACCCGTGGACAAATACTCCGGGGCAATGTGGCCGACGGTGCCACGGACCACGGTTGTAACATGGGAGTCCCTGTGGTCAAGAAGCTTTGCTAAACCGAAATCTCCTACTATTGCCTCGAAATCTTCATCCAGTAAAATGTTTGCCGCTTTTACGTCTCGGTGTATGATCTTCGGGTCACACTGCTCGTGAAGATAAACCAGTCCCCTCGCTGTCCCCAATGCAATTTTTTTCCTCCTCGGCCAATCTAACGCTGGCTCACCCCGAATATGATCTTTTATACCGATTAAAAACCCAAAGATTTTTTTAGTACGAGAAGATTCAGACAATAGATGGAACTTTTCATGCAAGTTTTGGACTGAGAAAGTGTGTACCTTTCAAGCGGGAGGCAACACTTCCATTAGGCATGTAAGGGTAGACGAGAATCCGTTCGTTCTCAGTGCTACAAAACCCGCGAAGCCTGAGAAGATTTCGGTGAACAGCCAAACTTATGGTCTCCACTTCTGTCTGAAACTGGATCTCTCCACCAGCTATGTTACAGTCTTTGAGTCGTTTCACCGCCACCAACGTTGCATCGTTCAAGTGCCCTTTGTACACAACTCCATATCCACCTCTCCCGAGGATGTTCTTCGCATTAAAATGGTCGGTTGCCGCTCTAAGCTCTTTGAATGTATATCTCTTCAAGTGACCCAAGCTTACCTCAGGATCATATTGCTCTGTAATGTATGTCACAAAAGAGGGGAACAGTTACTCTCGGAGTTTCGTTCTAAGGAAAAAAAAAATCCATGAACTTGTTTATTAGGTTAACCCGCAAATGGAAACATCGCCTAGGTTCATAATTCTTGCAGAGAATGTTCCTAAGCAGAGGAATCACTTCGATATACTAACCATTAACGTCGAAGAAAATCTGCTTATTGTGCCGATATCTCCACCACAGAAAAATTCCAACGCTAAATATGATGAAAAATGCAGCGGCGAAGCTAGCGGCAAATGCAACGGCTACATGATGGCCACCAGAACGATTTCCCGATTCACCTAAAGACAGAACAAAAAGGTAAAGCAAAGATCTATTGGCAGGCAAAAAAAACCCCCGAAGGGAAACACGAGGCAAGCACCTGTTAGACCGTCGGGTGGAAGAGTGAGTGGCTCGGGGAAGACAGCAGAACAGTTTGCATCAGCTTTCGGGCCACAAATTAAAGGGTTTCCAACAATTCTTGGATTAAAGAAAGAGCAAACAGAAATCATTATATAGGAAAAACAGAGGATTCGGTAATAGCTCCATTTAGAAGGAGAAGCATAATAAGCTTACTTGAAAGTTCTTGCCGATACTTTGGGCAAGGCACCGCTAAGATTGTTGTACGAAATGTCCCTGCGGGAAAATTCAACTCAGAATTCAGCGTTCTTGTGTGCGAGATCATTACATAGGAAAAAACAGATAGGTTTTTTTATGCACATACACAAGACTGAGCCCTTCAATATCTGATAGCGAATCTGGGCAAGTCCCGGAAAGGCTGTTGTTGTTTAACTTCCTGAGCAGACAAAGATGCACAACACAATGATTAATGAGGCTATATAATGACGAACATATTCAAGAGATTTTCTAGCAGAACTCACAGGTAATTCAAGTTCTTGAGCTCTCCCAATGATGATGGTATTTCTCCGGTGAATAAATTGTTCGAAAGGTCGAGGGTCTGAAGCTTTTCCAACCTCCCGATCGTATCAGGTATAGGACCAGAAATGGCATTGTTTTGCAGCAACCTAAATGTACGAGCAGCCACAAAAATCTAAGTTCAGCGAGTACACTGCAGATCAAGAACAGAACCAGACAAAAGGATTTACTTACACAGATTGCAGATTGGTGAGGTTACCGATCCTCGGAGACAATGTCCCAGACAAGCTCTGACTGGGAAGTCCTCTGTTTTCATGGGTTGAACCAATGAGCAGAAACATTTCTACATTTTCTACTTAAAAAAAAGAACTGTGGTTTTTTGGACAAAGGAAAAGGTTGTGAAAGACTTACAGTGAAGAAACATAGCCATAAGAACAAGTGACCATTCTCCAACTACAAGGGTCGACCGAATTCACATCCCAATTCTCCAAAACGTTGTATGGATCATTCAGCTCGCTCTTTATCGCCATCAAAGCCACCACTGCTCGTTTCAGTGACAGATATTTCAGACATTGAGAGAAAATAAAAAACCCAGAAATCTTTATAACTATGGGTTGGTATTGGCTGGTTCAGATATGGTCTGATGACCATTAAAAGCATTCATACCCAAGGGTACAATTCCATCCACAAACATTAAATCAATCAAAACCCCACACAAGCAACTTAAATTCCACAAAGAAAAACGAAACGAAACCATTCGCATGGTAATTGGCTGCCCAAAGATTTGAAGCTTCTTCTGGAAAAATTGCATCTTTTCTGCTTGTCAGCAGAAATTCAAGTTTAAAAAAGCGAAAGGAAGTAAGAAATTCGAAAGAAAAGCAAAAGGGAAAAGGGGAAGAAAAAAAACTTACCTTCATAGTTTATACCACTAGGAGAAAGTGTAGCTGCAGACACATCCAACAACAATACCAAAACCAGAAACCCTAATCTCCAGAGCACAAATCTCACACCTTCCATGGCCTTATTCTCTCTTAAAGCAAAAAGAATCAACTTTCCCTGCAAAATTCAGGACACCCACCACTTCATCTTTCTCTCTTGTGCGAAGCTTTGCTTGTCCCCCTTATCTCTCTCATGTCCTTTTCAGACACACATACTAACTGCAGCATCTCTTCCCATCAAAGGAACCCTCTCTCTCTCTCTCTCTCTCTCTCTCTCTCTCTCTGAGCTTCAAAGGGCTTAAAATGAGAATACCCAGATCGCTGGCTGGAAAGATACCCAGCTCAGGAAGAGAAATTTTTTTGGAAGGAGCATGTAGAGAATGAGTGCTGAACGAGAGGTAACAAACAAGAAAAGAGAAAATAAAGGATGATAGAATTTTCCCGAGAAACAAGCAAACAAACCCCCCAAAATGCCCTGAAAGTCTGAGACTTTCCTAGAGATCTGAGAATACCAAAGCTAACATCATCCTAATGTTAGTGCCTCTGGGTTCTATATTATTAAAATCCTTTCTTGAGTATTATCCCTACAAAATCCCATAATGGGTCTTTTATTTTCCTGGTTTTTTAAAGATCTTTTGTGTGGCTTCCTCTGATTCACACTACCATCATTATCATATTTTGCTCACTGGAACCACCAAGAAAATAAAAAATGCAAAACTACATATGAATAATATATATATATATATAATATAAAATGGAAGAGGAGGAAGAGGAGGAAGGGACCAAAGAGGCAAAATCCAAGATGGAAATGCCAAAAAATCCACACACAGATAAAGATACTGACAGAATAACAAGAAAAGAAGAGAGGCTCTGTTTTTCCCTACTTTATTTTTTTTTATTCTTCTGAATTTTTTTTTAAAAAAAAAGAGAGACACAGAAAAATACAGTGAATTTTCCTGTTTTCAAATACCGGGTTACTGGGTTTCTTGAGCTCCTTTTTCCAGACAAATCTTGCTAGAAAAGAGAAAAAAAATTCAAAAAAAAATGGCGATTTGATTGGACTGAAGGGATTGATCAGAGAGAGAGAGAAGATAGAGAGGAATCAAGAACAACAGGATGCGCCCTCTCTCTCTCTCTCTGCAATGAGGAAACACAAGAACAAACACACACAGGAAAAAAAAAAGAGTCCTTTTTGTTGTGCAGATCACGTGCTTGGATTGTCTCCGTTCTTGTTGGCTTTTTCCAGACTTCAATTATTTTCCATCCATCCTCCGTTAATTGTTTATTTAAACTTAAATTATATTACTGAATTCAGATTTACAGAGGAAAAAAAAAGTTTTACCGTTAAAGTGCGCATGATTTACTAACACGCGCCGGTATCTGAAGAGGACAACACTACCATGATCTCTCATGTAACGTATCTCTGATCTCATCATGAAGTAAAATTACATATGCATTAAAATTAATTAGTCTCATGGATAAAGTGGATTTGAAGCAGTGTATATCACAAGTTTATATAATTATGATTGTCATTTTATTTACACATTTTCACTATTTAATTTTACAGTATATTAGTTAGAATAAATTTTATGAATCTTATGATAGTTTATATAGTTAAGTGAAAAAAAATATACTTTCTTCAATATATTGCTTTTTAATAATATTACTAAGAAAAATATATGCTGTTAAATATATTAATAAAGTAGCTCATATTTTAATGATTTTTAGTAAATACCCTTTTTGTAATTTTACAAGTCTAATTTAATTTTAGGTTTGGATTTGGTTTTCAACATGGGGTTTAATTTAAGGGTGATTTTATTTCAATATATAAAAATTATTTTTAGAAAAAAAAATTCAAAGCCTGTTTTTAACAAATTTTTAATTTTTTAAGAATTATTTTACTAATCATCAATGTTTTTTGTCATCTATTATTAATCATGAGTTCCATGCTCTTTCCTTTTAACTTTTAGTTAAACGGAACATGGTTAGGTAAGTCTTGGTACTTGGTAGATTACTTCTCTAATACTCTACTCTCTAACTAATCTCTTTATTTCTCCTTAAAATGCAATTAATTCCATAAAATATTTATAGAAATACTATAAACACACGTTATGGTATCACCGCTATATAAAGAAATTCAACGAATTTTTTGGATATTTTGAAAGATATAGTTAGAACAAAAATAATTTTTGAATTATATAAAAAAAAATGTTGGCTTACAACCATTTGATTAGATCTTGTCCTCAATTTAATTAATTTAATTACAAAACATATCAATATAACATGAATTTGATGAGTTAGATATGCAATACTGAATTAATATGTTATAATAAGTAATAACTATCCATATTTATTAAGGAATAAGTTTACATAAAATTAAAGATTTTTCCCGTGAATAATTATTTATTAATTTAATTATAAAAAAAAACCTAATAGGGAATGATTTCTTGAACTTCGAACAAATGAATGACTCAACGCCCAAGGAGAAGGTAGGGTATTTTTGTCGCATTGGGAAAACTGAAATATTCTCTCGATAAAAGAATATTTATTAGTTTTAACACAAAACGATTTATTATTATTATTATAATTATTATTATTATTATTATTATTATTATTATTATTATTATTATAATTATTTATCTCATTCCTGAGTGAGATGAACGGTCATGACTCATGGCAGCGACGGTGGAATTTATTCACATTATTAGTAAAAAACGGATTTTGTTACTTTTCCTTTGTCATGATTTGTTACATTTTTTAAGATACTGTTTTCTTACTGTGTCTTATGAGATTTAATGTATTAATGATATTGAATTTAGGGAAATTCGTATAAAAAATATGAACTTTTAAAGATCTTTTATACAAATACACAAACTTCGAAATTTTTTTATCAAAATATATGATTTTTTAATATTTTTATAATGTTTATAATACGTGAATTTTTAGTGTTTTGAAATTTTTACTAAAATACACAAACTTTACATTTAATAATGTGAATTTTAGTTTTAAAATTTGTACTTTTATTTATTTATTTTTTTATAAATTTTTATCAATTATATCTTTTTAATGGAGATTCAAATCCTTTCAAATTTTACTCCAATCTTCAATATTAATAATATTAATTTTAAGAATATTTAATTAGATTTAAAATTATTTTTATTTTTAATTCATATTAAATCCAATTTTATATAATTTTATAGCAATATCATTAAATTCCAAATTATATTTAGTCGGAATATAATTTAATATTATTTGGTATAGAAATTGTGACTCCTAATTTAGATTCCGATCGCTGTAAAAGTAAAAATGATTAAGTAATTCTAATGGTACATTCTAAATTTAACAGAGTAATAATACTTTATTTACCTTCTGGATTACATTATTCCATGAAACGTTAAAGTAGAAAAATAAAAGGAAAAGAACACACGAAAATCGAAGAAAAAATCGGTGAAAAGACATAAAGCGTGAATTGCCCATTTTGTCTAATTATGAAGCGTCAAAGAACTAACAGTAATCGTTGAAAATTATAAAATAAGAGGGTAATTAAGTAAAACTAAATCAAATAATATAACTACAAAATTATTTGGATTATAATTTTTTTAGATATATATATAAAGTTAGTCTATAAAAAACAGAAAATTGTTAAAATGATTTTGAAAAAATCCCTAGAACAAACCTCTTTAATCCTTAAAATACAAACTATTTTTAAACTATATCATAAATTAAAGCCTCAGTCCAATATAAAAATAAATAGAGTTTCCAAATTAGAAAGTTAATCTATTCATCTTTTTTATTATGAACAAAGCTCCTTTTTTCTGTTTCGGACATGGAGATTTTATGCTTTTCTGTTCTTTAAAAAAAAAAAAAGAATTTGTGTTTTTTGGGAAGAGTGGGCCCATGGGGTGTCTGACTAAAGGTTTTAGGTCATGGCCACGTGGGCCCAATTTCCATCTTATGATTGGTCACCCTGTCTTTGTGGGCCTTTCGCCTCCATACCTACCGCTTTACCAAATACTCTCACAATTATATGTGTGGTGTATATAATATAATATTGAAAGTGACCGGTTCGAATGGGTTAAAACGAGTTAAGTTCGTGAGCTGACTCAGTTGCCGACTCGTTTTTTAACGAAGCAAACTAGAAACGAGTCTAACAAACTAGTTCACCACATCTCGCGAACATGATCAGCTAACTCGGCGAATCACGAGATAGCTCATGAGTTAAAACGTGTTTTTTAATTATATGTATTTATATATTTTATAGAAAAATAATATTTAATTTAATTTTTTATTGATTATATAACATCCTTTTTTTATTTATATTCAAGTTTGATATTTTACAATTTAAATTTTATATTATAAATCATTTTGTTTAGTATTTTTATAATTAAAATAAAAATATTATATTTATTTTTTAATTTGATAAGTCAAGATTTTTTCTTACTCGTTTAAAAATGAATCTAGCGAGTTGAAATCAAAACGAATCGATTTGTCACTATCTGAACCGAACCGACTCGTTTGGACATTTCTAATTATACATAATTGAAGATAGGGATAAGTGCTTCGGTATTCGATCCGACATTTATTCAGTTAAGATTATTTCATTTTATAAAAATATATATCTATTGATTATTATTTTATATTCGATTCGATTTAGTTTCGTTTTGTTTTTATTTTTTATAAAAAAATATTTTATTTTAAAAAATCGGTTTTTTGAGCAGTTTAAAAAAAATCAATTTTTTAAAAATGGTAATATTTCATAATTTTTTAGAGGGTTCAATTCGAAATGGGATCGAATTTTTTGACTCCATTCAATTCGGTTTTAAAAAATAGTACCGAAATGCCGACTGCTAATTGAAGGCATTATTAATTAGACCCTGAGCGGTCCAAGTCCAAAGAAAAAAAGCTCAAAATATTATATTAATTTATAAATACTCAATATATGTCACAACCGAAGCCGCAAATTCTTAGAACCCCCTTTCAATTTTTCCTTCGAATGATCAAGACCTCATATCATATATCTTGACATTTCAAATTTTCTTCAAATTGAAAACTGTGATTTTTTACAAAACCAAACACAGAAAATAAAAAAAGCCACGGGAGATAGAAAAGAATAAAATTTTAAAAACAAAAAAAAAGTTTATTTCGTTGTCAATTGTTAACCAATGTTGGATTCTCAAAGCTATGACACTGTAATATGATGGATAGCCTCCTTGCAAATACCTGTCATTGTTGCTTCTGGACCGTATACCTGCCCAATGCATTACGAATTTAATCCAAAACTATAACGCAATGATTGCTTCTTTGGTTGATATACCTCTATTGGTACTCCGATTTCTTGGCCCAGGGCTCTCATTTTGGCAAGACCCCTTTCATAGTTTGGCTTCTTCCATCCGGGTTTGCTGTTGCACACTGCCGTTCCAAGATGCGTGTGTTAACGTTCTCGCCTTTGGTTCTGAATGGCATTTAAACGAATACGAATATCTTACGTCGATAACGACTCTTGCGTACTGCAAAACCTCGTCTTCCTTTGGTGCTCCGCTGTATTCAGCGTAGTTTCCTAGTTCAGAAGCGTATCCTTTGGCGAAATCTCCAACCTAAACAAGAAAAAAAATTTCATATACCCTTTGGCGAAATGAAGAGAGTTTTGGCATTGACTAAGCGAATGACAAGGAGAAGCATACAGTATCGGCATAGATGACACTGGCTCCTCCCCCAGCTACCATTGTCCAAATTCTCTC